TGACTTTTACTGCTTTTATGGGAAATATCAGCATGGTTTGTTTTCCATTCCCTTGCATAGATGCTTCATCCTGACTTAAATTCCAGATGGCCAGTTCATTTCCAATATTTCTTCTTGCATCTCAAACAGTCTTTGTCTGCACATTATCGAATGATAAAAGTAGTTTGAAGATGACATCTAGTTTTCTTTTAGCTTTATTTTGCTAGAAAAGGAATGAAAAGTTTTTCAAGAAATAAGATATATCTACGACCCTATTATCAAACTTTGAATAATACTATCATTACTGTGAGTAAACATAAGAAAACATTCTTCTGAAAACATTCATTTGTTGACTGATGTCGGTTAAAGTACTGCGAAGTTAGGGTATATAAGCTTGCAATGCATGCAAAAAAATATAAAATATGCAAGAACCCGTTGAGGACGCTTTTGATACAGTTCTTGGTTACATAATAGGATGCGAAGATATAAAAGAGACAGTATCGTCATATTTGTAAATTGCTTGAAGAAGACTTTTTTCATTGGAATGGCTGAATGGAAATGGAAGGTTAAAATAAACACATTTGTTTATTGTTATTTCTTGCAAAAGAAAACTTAGTCTCATCAAAAGTTTTCTTCAAGGTTGGTTTTGATTTTAATCCACTGTCTTTTTTTCCGATTTTTTGTTTTATTGGTTTCAAATTCGGCTATAACTGGCAACTGATCAGTTATCGATGGAGTGGTGGTTTCTGAATTGATTGAAGTGATCTGTGACGGTGGAGACATCACAAATATTGCGTCAGGCGTTAGTAAGGCTTGATTTGATTGTTGGAGACCCGGTCCTACCATGAATTCTATTTGGGTTGGGATAAAATCGATTCACCGTTCTTTCGTAGACAGGATTGTTGAGAGATTAATAGAGATGATCATCTCTTTTTTTAGCAAAAAAATAATTCACCGTTCTGTTCGATATTCCTTCTCTGTTGTACCTGTCTCGTCTTAACATACCATCGGAATTGGATCGGTGATAACGTCCATAACAATTGTTTTTGCTACAGATTCAATAATATCTTCACTTTGCTGATCGATATTTCCCTTCAGAATTCTCTTGCGAATAAATATATTTTCGTCCGCTGCAACTTTTCCATTTTCGTCATTCAACATTACAGTGAACCCTTCTTCCGATATCTGCCAATTGTTGGAGATGAGAACATTTGATGTCACTGTATCTATTATCCGCACTGTTTCCGAGTTTCGTCGTGAACATTTCCTTATTTCTTCATTCACTTCCATTATTGGATGTATCTTTTCAACAAATTCATTCGGGTACGATTCCAGCTTATGCAAAACTGTTTATTTGAGCATGCTTAGTAGTTCTTCCAATCTCTTTGGATTTTGTTTCGGAAACCTTATCTTGAGCAAAGGGAGAATAATTCAAATCAGCAGCTTTCGTAATGTTTACTACTGATGTCATTTTGTCCACCTTCTGATTCGCAGAAGACTGAGATTCAACAGAAGTTAGGCTGGATTCAAGAACTTGATGAATGTAATTATATGGATTTAAATCCTTAACATTTGTTCTTAGACAGCTAAAATTCTCGATACTATTAGGACAGACATCGGGTAACTTATGCTTTGATTCGTAATATCGAGTATTCGCCGCTAACTTGAAAAGTTCCAAACTTCGGTTTAATTTCAAATTACTTAGTTGTGAGAATCAATTACCAATCGCTTTTCGTGCTGATAAAATAGCTTCGAATTCAATTAATATCGTGGCAGAATTTGTAGGCTTTTGGTATTTTAGCTTTTTTTGAGTAGTTTTAATTTCGAAATCATTGGGATGCAATCTTTTCTGCCATGTATTTTTAGAGATCAAAGTTTTTCCAGCTGTAGTTGATTGTGCATATTCAGCCAGAACAACAGGACCATCTTTGATATCTTTCAATGCGGAGTGATTATCAAGATCACATTTAAGAAAACTGATACAGCTGTAGCAGCAAGAGCAATCGCTCTCAGTGTCATTATTGCTGCCAGACCGAGAGTCATCATCTTTGACAATACTGCTGTTTACATGGTGATTTTTACCACTACTCATTGTTGATCGTTGACATCGTAAAAAGAAAATATTTTCAACCATGACGCAGCATTGTTGTACCTCATTAAATTGGCTTTCGCTTAAGTTGGTCGACCACATTTTCGGGCGCGTTCCGCTGCCTCATAGCACTGTCATACAATACTCTAAAATCGATATAATGTTAATTCGTCGCACATTGATCGAATCGCAAGAATATCTGTGTCATAACTGTATACAATTACAATGTACAGTAGAAAGGCTTTTCAATTTGTGCAGGAAATAGTTATGACCTCGGAGAGCTGTTATGAGAAACACATACGTTGCGTTTCTCAACAATAATGTATCATGTATAAGGAACTTGAGATAGAGAAAAGGAGACTGGGTTCCGGATAAGGCCCTATGTGGTTTAATTTGATGGCATTAATTAAAATTCTAGAAAAGTGGGTTTAATCACAAAGTAAAGTTTCATATTTTGACCGCCAACTGTAAAAGGCAAGCTTAACATTAAATAAACATTGCTTTTTATGTGCCTTTTACGAGAAATCAGTGTTAATTGGGACGAATAAGTTTGCCTATCCGGTTTTACTTATTTAAACTTCGGGAAATGAGTTTCTATTACCACAAGTTACTTTGTTTCCCTTCTGTTAAGGTACCATAACCTGGACTTACAAATTAATTGCTGCAATAATTTATGCTAGGTACACTCTTAAAGGGTATCTATCCTATTTACTTATTTAATCCACGATCGTATCATTCCTAGATTCATTATATAGTAAATAGTTACGTTGATGCTTATTAACGATTTTATATAATATTAATTAATATTTACTGTTGATTTTTTTATTTATAAAAAAAAGGGATCTCGGTTTGTTGTTAAAGAATAAATTTGAAAAGATTTACACACTTCTGAATTTTTTCCACTGAAATTACCACCACTTCCAACATCCATTGGCAACGGCAATGAGTCACACTGACTCTCCATGCTGACTGATTTTTTCTGCGTATTCTTGGAAACTCTTTTGATAAATTATTTGTTTGTTTGTGAGTTAAGATTAATGTCGATTTATTGCAAAAACAAGAAGATTTCAGCGGATTCTGTCTCCGTCCATTTATCTGTAATCTTGTTCAAATGATATTAGACTCCCGCGAATCACCATAACATTTACAGAAGAACTCAGTCGTTCAGGATGAATCAAAAATGAAGATAGAATGAATTGAAATGAAATATTTGAATGATTGAAATTACGATTAATAAGAGCAAAATGAGTACCTCATCACATACTTCTTTGTACGAAGAATACAGTAATGCAATGGAAAATATAGGCAGCCATCAAATCAGACTCGTTATCATAGGCCAACAATCCAACATTACATATTTGATTTTAGCAAAATGCTTTTCAATTTGTCGCCATTGTTTTAACATTCTTCTTTTCCTGAATATGAAAATTCTGCCATCCCATCATTCATTAACAAAATGATTGAGAAAGTAGAATCTACCCATAGCGTTGATATTAAGCAAGGCAATTAAAATGCAGGATTTCTCTTCGTTTCAATATTTGACATTTGAGAGAATCGGAAGTGCAATTATTCTATCACCGGAAAGAATGAAATCCGCGATGTTGCTATTTAGAATCACGTCCTGAATACATCTTACGCAGAAAGCTTCTAGAAAAAAAAAAAACTGATAATTGTTTATGATATTGGCTCTTTTCGAAGAAATGTTAATGGTAACATTAAACAATTACTGGTAAAGCGTTAAACAATCACCAGTAGAATTTGAAAAAAGTAAACAAATGAGCAAAAGTTTTGAAAAATTTTGCAGAGAAGTTCTGGCAAAATTTTTTCCCTAACTCGTTGTAATTCCGAGCACTCCAAGAACTCTCAGGGTAATTTCCTGTCAAATTTCCAAAGCTATTCCCAAATTTCAAAATGAATAAATTCTTATTCATTTCAATATAGCGTAACCTTTCCTGTATACTGATATCTTCTTTCTTGAGATTAGTGCATGCATACAAATACAACTTCTCTCACAGTTACAATATAACCAATGATAACGAATGATTCACAATCCCGAAATATTGCAATCTGATCCAGCAAATCCATTGCACCAATGCAAATTGCAATGTAAATTTGTATTTCTTATGAAATAACTGATAGAACCTTAGGATGAGTTGTAAAAAAGCAAAGATTTATCAAAGATACGTGAAAGAAGGAATGAATACTGTAAAAAGTTAAGTGATGAAATTTGGAAACAAAAAAGCAAACAAACGAGATAATCTCTGGGAACGAGCAAATCTTGAGACATGATCAATAGTCTTTGATTCTCGTTCCACATTTTCAGGTTGACAAATTTATATCAAATGCCACTATCACCGTCTTTTCAGAAAGAGGAGTTAAAATTGATCAGTTCTTTTTAAAAGTAATATCATTTTTTTTCGTTCTCATTTCGTGATGACTTTACTTTTCCTGTTATGGCACAAATTCGGATGTGAAAAAAGTCATGAAAATATTTATTGTGGAATTTGTGGAGAAATGATGGAAATAAAAACGAAAGAGGTTTAGTGAGGATTCAATGGAAGCAGAAGTCGATAACATTAGAGGGAAGTAATTTAATTTAACTCTTACTATCATTTCTTTTTGCATCGATCCAAGACTCTTACAAATCAAAATTCAATGCAAAAACTTGAACAATTTAAATTATAAGTTCCGAAAATTTAAATTCTTGGCTCCAATTATTTGCTTTAAAGAGAGGCTCGTTTAAAATGTAATGACTTTCTTTTTTCTTTTTGTCATGGCATAAATTTGGATGTAAAAGAAGTGATGAAGATTTGTTGTGCAGTTTATGTGGACTTTGGCAGTTTTATATTTCAAGAAATGATTCAAATTAGAAGGTTTGAGCATTTGGCCACTAAGGGAAACAGAAAAGACTTATCAGATATGTATGTGAATGAAGGAGAGCATTTAATGTTACCGGTATGAATAAAAATTCTAAAATGATATTCGTAGTCAATTTTTAATAGTTATTTAAAAATTTATCGGAAATAAACTGTGGAAAGTTCGATATTTGAACGAATTGATCACTGTAGCCATGTGTCATTTCATTCGGGACCACTGTCATTTGTCATCATTTTAAGATCAATAATAAAAATTTATAAGTTGGTAGTAATTAATGCTAACGAAGATTCCAAAATGTTATGCACAAATCCATGTTTTAGAAATTTTAAAAATTATGGGAACAAAAATTAGGATGAAATTAAACAGTTCGTACTAATAGACTGAAAAATAAAGAGATAGTTATAAACCGGAAATTTAACCAAAAAAGCAGTATTTAATATAATTCTGTTCTCATAAGCAGCTACTACTCTTCTCATTACTTAAGAATGTCAAATTTAGGCTCAATTACCACCCTTATCCTTTTCTTATAAGACTCTGAAAAACGATACGTAACATTCCATGACATTATGAAATAGTATTACATTTGCAAAGAAACTCCAAAATGACATGTTTTAAAAAATAAAAAACAACCTCTTAAATGAAGACATTTCCATAGATGAATTGTCAATTTGATAAATGTTCTTCCCACCAAGGAAATCTTTAAGAAACATTTAAAAGAACGAGAAAAATTGGTGAGTGCATTACTACGTTGACAAACGTGCAATACCCGGACATACGACAGAATGAGTGCTTGTGATGAAATTGCATTCCGAAAAATTTGAAATTGAAAATAAAGAGCATACATCTTTTAGATATAGCAACCAAAGAGTAATTTGGAACGATATCGGCAAATACAGTATATTCTCTCACCCATAAGTTTCTATTTATTATTTTTGGATGGAGAAAATAAAAGATAAGGTAGTGTGGATGATGACAGAAGCCAGTGAAACTGACCAGAAAATACTGGAACCATCACCAATCATGTGGGCAGAAACAATGGGATCGTGGGAAACTGAGGAAACACAACTCTTTCAACTATTGCAATCGCAACATTTTTTAATTTGTGTTTTTTTTCGTTTGTGATTTTATTTTTTGTAACAAGATTTGAAAGGACGGAAAATGAAAGCCATGTGAAATGAATATAATGGTGAGAGTGGAGATGTCAGTCCCTGGATTCGGTGTTCTTCTATAAACAAAGAATTTGGACTGAATTTCTTGTCTCTTTTATATGAATGATTCATTCTGAAGTAGGCAAGAGCAACTTTTGTGCCAGATCGTACCCATATCAAGGTATCCAAGCAGGTATCCAAGATGGACAATCTCTAGTCGATAGAATAATGCAAGTAAAAGAAATAGAAAATTAGATCCGTAACTTCGGGATAAGGATTGGCTCTAAGGACTGGGCCGGTTGACATGTTTTGATGAGTAAATGAATAACGTGAAGCATAGCGGTTGCTTTTAGTCACGAAATTATATCAGCTACTCACCGCCTAGAGATTGTCGGCACTTCTCTCAAATGAACAATCAGAGAGAAGTAGTATTGGTCAATGCAACAAACGGTGACCATTGCTGAATTGAATGGATCTCCTTAGGTTACCGTGAATATTTCAGGAGCTAACTGGATCAGCTACATCATGGCCAAATCATGGCCAAACGTACCAATCAAGTATTGCTCCTTTTTGAGCTCTCAGTCACTGCTAGTGTCCACCATAGGTTGTAGAGCAAGTATATTTCACTTTGTTTTTCTATAGAATTATAGCTAGTCTTTCAAAAGACAGAAGCTATAAGTCAACTTAAAGGTTTGAAGTTTTTCAGGTAATTATTTGGACTGGGCTTTTTTATTTTGTTCTCAGTACATGAGTTTTAGTTCCTATCGATAAAGATCAGAAACAGAGTGGAAACCAACTAACATAGAAGAGGTTACAGATGAAATGATGGATGAGTATTTTGCGGACACTAGCAGTGACTGAAAGTTCAAACACTGCTAGTGTCCACCATAGTAATAAACAGGAGAGATCTATTAGGTTTCAAATTATTTGGTGAGAAAATAAATGAAATTCGAGATAATGTGGCCATTCGTATCAATGAATCCACAAGTATTTACTGTAAGTATACACATTTAAATTGTTGGCTTTTTGTATAACTTTTTCAGATATTTCCTTTCATTATAAATCATCTAAAAAGTAAAACATCCACTTGAGGTCTTGTAAAACTCTCAAACTATAGCAAAAAATTTATTTTATTATTATTATTATCATTATTATTATTATTATTATTATTACTATTATTACTATTACTATTATATTTTGAAATTTGTCAAAATCGTAGGGTCGTCATGTATGTTACATGATTGACTGCTGGTCAGTGTGAATGATTGAAGTACTCAGGAAGAGTATCTTTCAACTGTGATATACTGACAAGAACTGGTTTCAAATCTATCTTTGTAACTTTTAGATTGAAAATTTTCATTCAGATTGAAGATTCCAAAATCATTGGAAAGGACTTACAATTTCAAGACCGTATATGGTCTTTGTTGCTATGGTGATCCAAGTGACTTTTTCTGGTCGAAGAATTCGGTGATTATTGCGGCGATGATATCCCAAAATTCTAGAGGATCTCAAGCCTACACTAACATCAAGGAAATCAATAATAAAGGAAATTCCCACTAACCAAATAGAAAAAGTATATTTTTGCAAGGAAAATTTCGGATAAGTAGGAGGGGGGAAATGGAAAGATACAGGTACCTGTAGCATATTAGATCTCAAAAGCTGATATGGAGAGTCGTAACATTAGTATTATCAATAACTATGCAGATTTAATTAGAAAAACTGAATGAAAAGGTAAACTTAAGGGTCGAAACATTAAAAAAATACTGAAAAAGAACTAATCTCAATTCACTAGGAATCAATAGTGAATAATTTAAAGTGGAGAATTTTAAATTAAAAGTTGTGCCTTTCCTTATATTAATAACAGAATAGCTGTTCCAAATAATTTTTTGACAACTGTCCATCACACTTTTGTTGTGAAAAAAATTATTCCTTTCCTTTACCGAGTCGTTTAGACTTGGAAGGTTTAGCCTTGAGTTAAGAGCAAGCAGAACTTTAATTAAAGGCTTACCTTGTGAAGACGTCGAATATACGTTGTGAGGACGCAGAGTAAATTTTACCGCTTTATTGATATAATACGGGGTTGATCAGGAGGATTATTGAAGAATAACGAGTAGAAATCGCTTGCCCGTGAGTCAAAGGCTGTTATAAGAATACTATAGAAGAGCACTAGTCCAGACCAAACCTTTATACAAAAAAGGGATATATATATAAAGAAGTAGGAGTGGTTTACATAGAACGTTAGAGGGTATTCCTTTAGATACAAAGGAAACGGTAAAAATGTGTATTTCCGTTAGACAAAGATAACAAAGAAACGTATGGGAGATAATTTTGAGGAATGTGATTTGGTGAATAATGCAGTGATGAATCATTAGAAATGTTCTAAGCATTTAATGTATGAT